AGAAGCTCCTGGAACGTTTTTGGCACATTGATTACCTACAACAGCAGAAGGTGTAAACGCAGAAGTGCAACAGGGATCAACGATGAAGAATGGGAGCTCCCATGGAGCATCATAAGGACACACACGTGTACACACATGAAATACACACACACACACACACGCACTTGTCTGTGTACTTGCTCACTGCCATAACTGCCATAACTGTCATAACACACACACACACACACACACACACGCGCACACACACACGCGCACACACACGCGCGCACACACACACGCGCACACACACACACACACACACACACACACACACACACACACATGCACACACACACACGCACACGCACACACACACACACACACACACACACACAAAAGGGTGGGATGTCCGTTCAATTCATCCCGCCGTCTCGCATTGCTTTTCAGGAACGAAGTGTTCAAGGCATTGCAGATTGGAATGCCCCGTTCATATTGTGTAAGACAAGTTGACTGCTTTGTCCAGTATCGTATGTTCAAGAATCACAAGAGCAAGTCAAGAGAACATGCCATACATAAAAAATTCTTTTCAGTCTTTTGAAAAAGTAACAACATGTTCATGAGAGCGGCAGCAGAAACGCCAACATCCGCCGGAGTCTAAGCACTCAGCATTGAATACACTATGCCAGCGGCCTGGCTGTAGGGCTACATCCCGATTGGTCCAACACGGCAGGGCTGAAGTTGCTCATATCAAGAGTGCCTAACCCACAAGAGTGTACAACTGATGTTTATAGAGTATAGGAGTCTGCTGCTGCCACTGCGACAGCAGAATATCACATGACATGTTTGCCTCCAACCAGTGCACGATACTGCTCTCCATCCAGAGGGAGCTGCAGCGCCAGTGGTCCACAAGGCATGATGTGATGTCAATAAACTACGCAGGCGACCAATGCAAAGCGATTAGCAGAAATTGGAACCCGGAGCAGGGTTGCGTCACAATACCATACGGCCTATTTAAGTATGTTGAGAGATGAGGATGCCTGCAGTCGCAGCTCTGGATGCCGATGGAGAAAGTGCAGGCAGTTGCACATGTGTACTGTAAAACCTGAAAGCTAAACGACCAAAAGTTAACGCTTTCGTAATCTTGGCATGATAACGTGCAGAAAGTTTAACTATGGCTACCTGGCCACCCAGAACATGCATCGATGTACATTGTATGCGCATCTTTACACACCGGGTTTGCAGAAACGTTTCTTCAAATAACGAAAAAAAGTGGTCGCTAAAACGTTAGACTTTGTGACTCGTTAGATTTTCCGGTTTTACACTATGAAAATTACAAAATTTACACCCAGGTTGGGCGTAAACATGTACAGCCGCGGCCAAAGAAATCAAACTCACGTGCCGAAAGCAGCGCCAAGGCCCCTGCGGCCCTCGGATCAGTTCTTGGGAACATACATGACGTAATTGAAATGGAAACGCGGCGCTACTTTTGACCCTCGGGTCGGATTTCTTTGGCCACGACTGTAGTTCATCATAATAACTCGATATAAATGCTCAATTAATTATTTGAATCTATTGACTGAGAGGTGTTCTAATTCGTTAAATTGAAACTAATAATAGTGATCCTTTTGAGCATTGTGGAAATACAGAGTTACTATTCATCTTACTTGTCCCTTGTCATCTGGGTTTGCTAGCTTCACGGTCACTCTTCGAGTAGACATTGACTCAAGGAGCAGCAGTTGCAACAGCAAACCAGAAACCTTGACCCCACCAGCAACTTCCGCTCGTTTCAAGCAGGTGTCTGACAGATTCACGAAATCAGAGGACACTGCGAGCTGCTACAGCCAAGGGGTTTACAGCTGGGACGCAAACCACAGGCACCGGCATAGCTATAGACCCCATTTCCATTTCAACAAGACAACATGTCTTCGTCTAGACGTCTGTGGGGTGGGTCCAAAAATCAAAAAATTCAAAGGAATGAGTACATTTTTTGTGATCTTTTACACCTAAAGTAGATATTACGTAATCAGCCTACGAGTCGTACGATCACGTTCACGCATGATGTCATCAGGGAATTTGAGTAACTAGTACAATTATACAATGACTATGTATTTCCAAATACCAAGCAAGGCTTCTGTGTATATAATTATTATACAATGTAGTATGCAACATATCCTTTCTGTACTGGCATGACATGACATAGTGTGATCAGGACCCAGGCCAGACGTGACCTGGTGAGTGGTGACTATACGGTATACCAGCAAGAGAGAACAAGTAACAGTTCCCTGGGAGTGGGAGATAATTAATTTTTACTCTTGCTACTACCAAGAGTACATGGGGTTATGTACTCTTGCTACTCCCAAGACTCAGAAATATTAAGAGTCCATTATGGACTCTTGGTAATATCTAAAATGCTACATAGTCTACGCCCGGTACTATTCAGGCAGGTACATGTAAATACTGTAATCGCAAGCACATAAAAATCATGCCGAGAGTAAAATCGTGGACTATTGCTGTACGGGAGGGGCACAGGCTCACACAGCCTCACACTCTCAGTCTCAATGCCCACCAACAATACATGCGCCGCTGCCACTGGTACCTTCTTGTACCCGCTTGCCGGTGCGCGTACTTTGTAGAAAGCCATGCACACAGCATGATACCGCACAATGAAATACAGCACACAGCTATATCAATATCGGTACAGCAGAAGCCGAAAAAGAATACAGCCTTGGTGAGTTTCAGCCGGGTGACGAAGAACATGAAAATAAAATCGAAGAAAGCAAGATCAAGAGAATCGATACAGGTTTCCAGCTAAGAGACAGACCACTTTCGTTCGTGATAGCTTGGGGTTTCTCCATATTTAAGGAACAGCTTTAAAAAAAGGATAGTACCAGGATACGGCGGATATTTAAAAAAAAAGAGAAGGAAACAGCGGACGTGTGCACGCGTGTGTGTGCATGCGTGTGTATCGGTGTGTGTTTCATGACAGACGTTCAGTTCTGACTACAGGGTACTAAGGTGTACGTATGTTCTAGATTCAGCCGAGAGGACATTAGTAGCAGCGAGAAGGAAAGATCAGCAAGGGAACAGCCAGTGCATGGGGTCATCCGCAATACAACCAGACAGCCATTGGAGAACAAGCATAGCAGCGGGTAATGAAAGACATCAGCGGTGGGGCGAGTACCAAGCCCGGACCCAGTCGACTAAACACAACTATACAAACAGAACATCACACGTACGCTCAGTGGACACTGTACAGATACGACATAACACACTGGGCACAGGTGAGAGTGACGACAACCCAGGTGCAAACAATCAGAGATTGAGTGCAAACAAGCTATATACAATTTGAACAAAGTGACTATTTTCAGCATTGAAATGCATGTATGAAAACCAGCTGTACACTATACAATACCAGACGTCTTGCTCTGGTGTTTTCAGATGCGTATCCACATGGGGGTTCTATACAGCTAGAACAGAGGTTTGTAACCACACAGAAACAGTGACCAGAGGTCATTGACATTGACACGCCGTTCGCTCACTATTGCGATTGGGCGTGTTGCTCTTGTGCCTGTGTCTGTTGCGACTGCTGTGCCTGCGTCTGCTGAGGCTGCTGCGCCTGCGTCTGCTGAGGCTGCTGCGCCTGCGTCTGCTGAGGCTGCTGCGCCTGCGTCTGCTGAGGCTGCTGCGCCTGCGTCTGCTGAGGCTGCTGCGCCTGCGTCTGCTGAGGCTGCTGCGCCTGCGTCTGCTGAGGCTGCTGCACTTGTTGATCTTGACTGGGTAGAGCTTCTGTTGATGGGGACAGCTGCTGAGGGTGGTGTTCAGGTGACGTTTGCTCTTGTTCCAGTTCATGGGACGGTACTGGCACCACTTGGAACTGCTGACCAGATGGAAGTTGTATCTGCTGAGGAACGTCTGGTGATGCTACCTGCTGCATCACTGCATCCTGGGGCACCTGTGACTGGACGGAAGCAAGTGGCTGAGAAGAAACTTGCTGCTGCTGTTGTTGCTGCTGCTCCTGTATTGGTTGTAGTTGTGGCAGAGGCTCTTGCGGTTGTGGCTTTTGCTGCCCTTGCTGCTGCTGCTGCTGCTGCTGCTGCTGCCGCCCCTGCCCCTGCCCCTGCTGCTGCTGCCCCTGCCCCTGCTGCTGCTGCCCCTGCCCCTGCTGCTGCTGCCCCTGCTGCTGCTGCTGCGGGTCTGGGGCTGTAGCAACCGTAGCAGATGCATCAGCTGCGGCTTGCGGCGGCCGTTCTTCTTGTTCCCGCTTCTGTGCCGAAGGCGACTTGCCAGTTGCCTGAGCTCTTTCCGCTTTGGCCTCCCTGAAGTACACCATGAAGTTTGCTCCAATTCGAGAGGCTTCTTTCTGCACACGAAAAGGAGAAGAGCAATTCATATGGAGTGAACTCCTCCCATTCCATAAGAAATCCAATGCATCAAAGGAGTAAACATCAGAGTAGATATAGAGCCGCAGGCTGAAGGTTCAAGCCAGGAAATGGAAATGGACTACCCAATGACAAACTGGGCACAGAGCATAATTCTTGAGATTGGGAATAAAGCGGGAAGATTGGCCTTGCCCGGAAATTCGAATGATTTTCTCTTTTTCTTTTAGTGATTGGTGTAGCCCAGAGACCGTTTGGAGAGTGTTGTGAAGATGTACGGGTATAGTGGATAGCTACAGTGGAGTCTTCGCATTTTGAGAAATGGATTCCGTGACAAGTACATTTCAAAAGCCAGGGCACAACACGCTCAAGTGCACTGGAGCCCACTTAACACAAATCTCTGGCAACCTGCTAAAAGAATGTTGTGTGTATAGGAGGAGATGTGTCCAGTATACGACACGTAATTCTGGTCTGAACTTTCTTTCGTGTTGCACAAAGTTTCGTCTTGCGCGGCGTGTTCCTGTGTATAAAGTGGATTCCACACTGTATCAGGATCCTGTGAAAAGCCTAGTTTAACCATAGCACATGTAACGTGAAAGTACCACGGGAGCACCCTGTCTCGCAAGAGCACCCCGCCATGATCTTACAGCCAGGGAAAGGAAAATCGTATGGCAAAGTGCAAAAAATGTTTGTACGGCATGACGACCTTAGTGTGTGTAGGTTGTGTGGAGCTTCAGGTAAACTGAGCACGGATTGACTGCACAACGTGCAACGAGTGTACATGTACAAGGTACATACCGTGGGACCTACAGACGGGACACCAGCCCCAGAACACAATCATGAAGGGACGAGTCGGTGGGGCGCTCTGGTGGTACAGTAGTTTACGGTACTCGTGCAATGTGTGAGCCAACGACTTGGCACAAGGGTCGGGTTTGCTAACCGGCTGGACCACAGCATGGCCACCGCAACTCGTTTTGGACCAAGCAAGCCTGCCACCTTGATAGAGAGCTCCCTCAACTGTCACACGAGTACCAACACAAGTTCAGCGGCAGACAGTGTTCCAAGTTACAGCCGCTAGCACACACCATGTCACAATGTTTGCTGCCACTCTCAACAGAGGGACAAAGGAAGAGGGTGAAAGAGCTAAGGGGATAACAATCACAAACCTCGTGGATGAGACCTTCTTTTACTAGGTCTTGAGCAAGTTCCATCGGGTTTTCATCTGAATAACAACCAACCACATCAGAACAAATAAAGAAGGTTCAGGCGAATAGAACAAATCACTAAAATACTTCAGAAGCACAAAGGAGTACTACATGTACCATTTGTAGTGGTGAAACGAATATCAAAACCCAGTAGCCGAATATTCTTTGGCTTAACGAACGAACGAACGAATATTCTTTCGGTAAGACGGATGACATCACATGCCCTCCTCTCAGTCATATTTTTGGACATTGTCTCTATTATTAGGCATGACAAACGAAGGCAGATATTTCTCCATCATTTCTAGGTCAATTTTCACAAAATCCCAGCTGAAGTGCATTTCACAGGCTCAAAAACATCTTGAGACGTGATTTTTCGTTCAAGCGCCATAACTCCACTCCAGGACCTCGGATTGCGTTCGGGTTGCTTCTAGATGACAGCTGAGAGTTTTCTAATGCCGATAGACCTTTCGATGAAGCAATTCGGTCAAGTATTTGCGAAGTTACGAAAGTTTGAAGTCGCCCGGTAAACTCTGCATACCGGGTAAACGAATATTCGCCATGAGAAATATTCGTTCGAATGTGCCAAACCGAACGAATATTCGAATATTCGGTATATTCGTTTCACCACTAACCATTTGCCATCACCACGTGCGTCGCTGAAACCAGTCAGATATTAAATTCGGCACAGACTGGCTGAAAAGAACAGGCATAGCCATACCCGGCATGCCCGTACGCAGGCAGGCAGGCTAGTCCAAGCAGCTGGGGAGCAAGGTGACAGTTTTCAGGACTAAAAAAAATAGAAAATGTTCACTCCAAGACATGTTTTAGCTGGCTGTGGCACACGTGTACTTGAAGTGTGAGGACTACTCACCGATAGAGACCGGAGTTCGCACCTCTCGCCGCAATCCGTCATCCAACCGCATGGTTAAAATCATCTGCACAAAAACGACGCAGACACACACGCATGGGCACACCCATTAGTTCTACTTGCCCTGCGGCTATGGCTCTTGCTCTGGCCTGGTGGGTGGACTTCCATGCAGCAATGAGTCTCTCACTCTAGCCTGGTGGACTTCCACTCAGTAATGGGGCAGAGGATGAGAAGTTGAACAGAGGATGAGAAGTTGAACAGAGGATGAGAATTGAACAGAGGATGCTTTATAGAATACCTACCTACTCACACACACCATGAATACAAGGCATAGACTTACCTCAAGCAATTCTGGGTCCTCATCCTTGGGTTCAAGAGCACACTTTATTAAGTAATGAACCTGCAGAGGTCAGCACAATTGGCAAATGAACAGCACAAGCACATACAACATAGGATGAAACAAGGGCGTCGGAACCGCACCGGCCATGGCCGCCCCACTTTTTCGGCCGTTTTTTGTTTTTTGTTTTTCTAGTTTTTTTTTAGCACACTGCAACAAAGCGCGATGATCTCAGCGCAAACGTGGCAAATCCTTGTCCCCGATCGTGGTTTGTTGCAGAATCAAAAGTCCATGTACACTGAAATGGCACCAAATGCCTGGGAATGCTTGCAATTGGCTTCAATTTTTTTCCCGGGGGAGGGTAATGTTTATCCCCGATCGTAGCATCTTCTTGGTTTTTTGCAGAATCAAAAAGTCTTTCATTGTAGTTACCGTACACTGAAATGGCACCAAATGCCCGGAAATGCTTGCAATTGGCTTCAATTTTTGAAATTGTTTCCAGGGGGAGGACCCCAGACCCCCCTTCCATGGCCACCCTACCTCCAAAGTCGGTGCGACGCGCCTGTGGAAGACCGGGTTTACAATGGGTGCCGGAGCAAGCCAATCTAGCATGACTGCAGTTCTCAAGCATACGGCTGCATCCTTGCTCCCTGGCCCCAATAGTTCCCGGACTGGACAAGCAAAGAAGCCGGAGTTAAGTGAGGAGTGCAGCTGTACTTGGCCAGCAGCAGCATCAGTTGCATACGCACTGCACGCACAGCAGCTGTACTTGGCCAGCAGCAGCATCAGTTGCATACGCACGGCACGCACAGCAGCTGTACTTGGCCAGCAGCATCAGTTGCATACGCACTGCACGCACAGCCTGGCGACACAGTAGAATTCAGCATCAGTTGCATACGCACTGCACGCACAGCCTGGCGACACAATAGAATTCTTCCTCTGTTCACACAGCAATAACCCCCCAGTGGACAGAGTTTTCTTAAAGCTTTAGTTGCAAGTCCTTGCGACCCTCGGGCAATGCCCCTAACAACATCAGCGAATGGGGAAAAGCGCTTTTATGTGCATTGCACGTGTCTACGCAAGAGCATAGCAGATACAGGCAATCCATGCCATTGGCGTAGTGCCCTTACCCGACGAGTTTCAGGAACGATGTTGTCATCCGGCTTCTCGGTCTCGTTGACTTCAGCAGCGGGTGCTTGCTCCCTGCATGACAGTAGTGTGAGCAACAGGAAGAGAAGAATACGCAGCACATGCTAGCCAGCACCATGTACACAGGTGAAATGAAAGTCAATTAACATATGTGCGTGTGTGTGTGTGTGTGTGTGTGTGAACCTAGAGGGGAGCTATGAAACGGCACTTGTGTTGAAGCATGCTCTCTTCGACTATGCTACAAGATATTTGACGTACCTGGTACACGTACATCTTACACACAACCCAGCCATTAAACCCATACAGGACATGTGCCTGGATGAAATCAAGAACAATAGAGGTTATGCGAATGACATCATCATGCCATCATCACCATACTTTGTAGTGGTAGAGTCTTGTTGTGACATGACGACACCAGCGAACTTTTTCTTGACACGCGACGCTTGTAAACACCGGCACGAACACTTCACCAGCCACACTCCACGACGCTTGTAGACACCAGCACGAACACGAAACCAGGTATAGAATGAAAGAGGTTGAACTAAATGATACTGTTCTTATAGAAGATACTGGCGCAATGTGTGTACACTCAACTAACTAACACAGTCATGTGACAAATCGACACGCACGGAATAGTGTAGAACGGAGGTGTTACCAACCCTGCTGACACAACTATCACAAGTGCTAACTAAGTCAATCACAAGGAGAAAGAAAGGCACACAGATCAGTTCGCGCTAACGACTACACGTCACAAAGTATACGGAAGTGGTGACAAAGATGGGTGCAAAGTAGAAGCCACGTGACAGCCAACATAATCATTTCGGACGTCTAACGTCACATCTCGAAGTTGTCCACTGCACGAGACAAATACTTCACGCACCTCGAAATAATTAGCTGCCGGAAGGTAGAAAGAAGTGTGTGCTACCATGATGAGCTGTGAGGTGGTAAAGCGACAGACCCGTCCAAATCTTGACTGCAGGGTTGACGACTGACACTATAATCCTTGCCGCAGATCAGTGTTTGTATTTGCAGGTATATGTCTTGTGCAGGCGGCAACTTTCAGATGTGATGTTAGACGTCCAAAACGATTTCGTTGGCTGTCACTTGGCTTCTACTTTGCACCCATCTTTGTCACCACCCTTCCGTATACTTTGTGACGTGTAGTCTTTAGTGTAACTTACTCTGTGTACATCTCTTTCTCCTTGTGATTGACTTAGTTAGCACTTGTGATTGTTGTGTCAGCAGGATTCGTAACACCTCCGTTCTACACTACTCCATTCGTGTTGATTTGTCACATGTGCTTGTTAGTTGAGTGTACACACACTGCGCCAGATCTTCTCTAAAACAGTTTTACATGTATTTAGTTCAACCCCTTTCATCCAATACCTGTTTCTCTTCCGATGGGCTCCCGTCAGAGTATGGAACGAAACAAGGCTTGTCAGAAGCAACTTCTACTTCGAAGTAGCTGTTGGGTAGCGTGGCTGGTAAACTGTTCGCGCTGGTGTCTGCAAGCGCCGTGTATTCTCGTCTGGTCACAACAAAAATCTACCACTACTATGAATTGATGGACCTAATGAAGATGGCATCAACAGATTATAATAGACATCATAATTTATATGATATGTATAGGCAGTAGGATCATCACACCCTATTCAAGGGCCAGTTGTATTCGCAACTGCGGGAAACAAAGCTCCCGTGGCACCGCCTTTTCAGGCCTTCAGGATTGGCCGAAATTACGAAATTTGTTGTGGACTCTACTTGGCCCTCATCGTCTTAGAGGCAGGTCGAGGGCAATCAAATAGACAACACTGTGCCTCATCTGTGGGTGTCGGAAACAGATTTCAGGGGAGGCTGTATACGTAGGATTCTGTAGTCTATAAACTTGGGGCGAAATGGAGTATTCTTGGTGAGATTGCTTTCGTTTTCGTCGGCATTTAGTCACCTTGGAATTTTCCTCCCTATAAAGTAAAGCGGGATTCACAGAAGCTTTTGTTGCGATGCGATGGGTGATGCGACGCGATCTGCGACGGAGGCATGCGCTACGAACTCGCGAAATACCATTCACAGAAGAAGTCAGCGATGCGACGACGCCTTGCTGATTTGGCGCGAAGTTCAATGCAGGTGGGTACATCACCATGGTATTTGCGTAGCTTGGTACAACTTGGACAAATTTACAGGCAACTCTTGAACCTGTGTACAACTTTGCTGCAGAAAAGGTCAAAATCGTACGCCACATCACTTGTCGCATCAATTGCGGCAGTTGCGTGGGCTGCGAGGTGGCTACGGGTTGGGGATTTCCCTGATTCGCGGCCGTCGCATCGCATCGCAAAAACGCTTCTGTGAATCCGGCTTTACAGGCTTCAAATTTATTGCGACTGCCACTAAAAGTGCAACTTTTAGCCTGACTTTCTTTTTATTCTGGCGATCCTACGCTGGGGTAGAAAGTTACTAGAACCCAGTACTGGTGATGTCTTTCCATACAGAACACCTAGAAAGGTGAAATACCGCAAAGTACCGGTGATCCCCCCCCCCCCCCCCCACGCTGTGTCGCTTCCCAGCTGGGTTTTCGGCAGGGGGTGGGAGTTAGATCAAGGCTGTCAAGTGCAGTATGATGTACAACACCGCAGAAGGTCAGACGCGGTGTGCTGGACTGTGCACATTTGCATCCTGCACTGGCACGTACTGTGTACAGCAGTGCAAGCGTCGGTTCAACACCGTACTTCGTTGTATACGCCGAAGTCGCCTCACAGGCAGAAATTCAACAGGGGGCGGATCAACGGTACTTTACAGTAATCGCAAAGCTTCGATGATGATGAACCCCTAGCAAAAGGTATGGGAATCTTGCGTCTATGACAACAAGGCGGCAAGTCACACCGTGCAAAGAATGCTGAATTGCTTCAGAATACTGTAAAAGCCATATATATATATAACGAAGTGCTAACTTTAACGAGTTAGCGAGGAGAAATCTGTCGTTAAAATAGAAATCGTTATACAGAAATCGACACATATACTGTCCTATTCAGCGTTGAGAATGAGTGAGAATCGTTATCTTTGGTACACGTAAACTAGTCAATTTTGGGAAATCGTTATACATGCGCCTCGTTAGAATATTGGCTTTTACAGTAGCCCATACAGAAAGCAAGCAAGGAGACACATGCAAAATGGACAGGTGGGTATGTACAGTACGGATCGGTTATAGCGTTGGGATTTGATTTTCGTGAAAATATCACTATAGGCGATATGCATACTTAGGTATGCCTGACACATGCGTGTATGGTGTCATTCGAATCAGTGCAGCGTGCAGAAGCGTGCTGTGCATGTGACTGTGCAGTACGCGCAGTGCAGAGCTACTTCCTGCGGAAACAGAAACTTCGTGACTTTTTGACATGAGTTTTCAAGGAGTTGCTGTGCTCAACAAATGTGTTCTTTTGGAAGAGAAACACTTCAACACATTCAATCGACATATCTACAATATCTACAGGATCGATTAGTGGGAGTAGAGTCTCAGTCAGGATCGCGATTGCTCGACTCATCACCGCTGAAACCGTTCCAACTGGACGAAGTGGCAGGTCGATCGACGCGTGATGTCGTATGTCACGGAGAAGTTTCCCCGCGTCCCTGATCGTCTTCGCTGTTACCTGAATACCTTCTCCAACATCTCGGCGAAGACCACGGTAGCGCTTTGCAGAGGTGTTCAAGGCATTAGACACGGTATGAAATGCCCTCCATGCGTCGGGAGCGGGCGAGCATGTTCACCAGCATGTGAACGCTGTTGAGACATTCCTCGCAACGAAGCCACGAAGGACACACCAGTGTACATTGGACCACTATTTCTCCAAGAAGCAATACTATGTGTATAAACGCAAGAAAGAAACATTCTTCTCCCCGCGACGTTAATATGTGTACATGTACGATGTATAAAGCGGGATTCACAGAAGCTTTTTTGCGATGCGACACGCGATGCGACGCGATCTGCGATGGATGCGTGCGATGTGAACTCGCGAAATACCATTCACAGAAGAAGTCAGTGATGCGACAACATCTTGCTGATTTGGCTACGTCACCATGATATTCGCGCGGCTTGATACAACTTGTACAAATTTAAAGGCAACTCTTGAACCTTTGTACAACTTTGCTGTAGAAAAGGTCAAAATCGTACGCCAAATCGCTTGTCGCATCGCATCGCAAAAGTTGAGCCAAGCTCAACTTCTGCGATGGCCTGCGATGGCCCAGTTGCGGCAGTTGCGTGGGGTGCGACAAGGCTGCGATTTGGGGTTTTCCCGGTTTCGCGCCTGTCGCATCGCGTGTCGCATCGCAAAAAAGCTTCTGTGAATCCCGCTTAACTTTTTATGATCATCACTATAGCCGATGAAAAATGTACTGTATAAGCAGAAATATTCGTCTGGAATTTAATTTCGTCTTATTCGTCCAAGGAGCTTTTGGACTAAATTAAATGTAGGACTAATGTCGATTTGCCCAGCTTTTCTATACACTCTTATGATCCATGGACGAAATTTTCAACCGGACGAACTCCTTTTCTTTGGAGTTGGACGAAATTATTGACCGACGAAATTTTCTGCCTCTACAGTATGCAATAAAATTATTTTGACAAAGAAATCGTATCATTATAGGCCATATATTACTATAGCCGATCCGATATGTATAGAAAGGGGTGGTTTACGAAAATGAATTTAAGAATACGATCACTATAAGAGGTATAATTATTACTATAGCCGATCCGCACTGTACATGACTACAAGACGAACCATCCAAGAGTTGTTCCACCTGATGCTACTTACAGTGTCAAAGGCGGCTTGGGTAGATGAATGGAAGTCAGCGGAAACAAGCCATCCCTAAACAGAAGATAAAAGACACACACATGCATGAATACACACACACACACGCGCACGCGCACACACGCACGCGCACACACACACACGCGCACGTATGCATGCACACGCGCACACATTCAAATCCAATAGAAGTATTTTAGCTAGCTGTGTGATTCATAGAAAGATCCACCAGGTCTAATAATTCGCGCACAGCGCTCAAATCCAGGGATGGCGGAGCACTACACACAAAGCGGTAAATGTCATGATCAAATCAGCCCTGCTTATTGGCACCACTGTGGCCGTGGGTGGCTTCTCATCTGCTCCGCCAGTAACACTTCATTCAAAAGAGGAAGATGTTAAAACCTGAGAGTAACACAAAAATGAAAAAAACTGTGGCACGTTAACGGTCCTGACCTTGTCTCCTCGACAATCTTCTCCACGTCCATTGGCGGGCAGGTGGAAATCCTGTCCAAGTACAAAAACACACACACACACACACACATATATACGCACACAAAGCGAGAACAATACTAGTAGGCATCGCCCACTGCACAAGAGAACGCAGCATATCCTGTAAATGCATGTATTACAAAACAAGGAGACGAAGAAGAAGAATGCGGAGAATAGGCCAAGCACACAATACGCATATCATACATTACATTACATCCGTAAAACTCCACTATTTAACCCTTTCACTGCCAGCTGACCACTCAAGGTGACAAGGCGCTCCCTGCCAGGCTGTCAGCTGATCTGTACACCCCCCTCCCTGCCAGGCACTTTTTACCTCCAGCTCGAAAAATCGAAAGGCCTACTTTTCCTGGATTTTTTGGTACTTTCTGTACGGAATATCGCTTTCCAAAGTATACATCGTAGGTAGACAACTCATAAAGGAAGCCATTGCCGTCGAAAAAAATCGCAAAATCCGAAGTACAAACGTGCTGCGCGATCTAGCGCCAGCCGCTGTGCAAAAAATGCGTGTCGTGTCATGCGAAAGTGCGCCGTGCGCCGCATGCGCTACATACACTATGTACACGATCGGCCCGGACACTCGCGAAGTAAAGTTAGTTAGTTGTTGTTTTGGAGAGAGAAGCAGATCCTTTTTTTTGGTCGCTGGGATTGAAAGATATGCCAGTGGACAGGAGAGATAAAACACTGGAAGCAGAAGAGATGGCTCGCGGAATCTTCTCTATCTTCGTGGCAACAGGACTTCAGTTGCGAGAGACTTTCGTCCTGTCGTTGCGGACGAAATTCTTGTTGCTGCCACCAGAAACGGAACTCGGAGAACGAAACGTTCGTATGTCGTTTGGTGAAGCGGATCGTGTTGGTGAACGGCTGCGGAATGTTCTGCCGCCATGGTGGTCGTTTGTTCTCCCAATTAGCAGCAGTCCAAATACTTTTCAACTTCGGAGAGTGAAGCGCTTCCCTGTTCCGTTGACAAGCGCGGCGTTCGCGAGTGTAATTCACTTTCGCATCAGCTTGCAGTAGATCGTCAGGTATTGAGCCAGAGGTAGGTGTCGTTGTAGAAAGAATATAATTATGTTGTAGCTGACATACCTGTAGTGTCTCTTGACCGTGCTGGTCGCCATTGTAACGTGGTAGTTCTTAGAAAATTTTAGTTCTGGACCCAGTGACCGCCGCCAGCGCTGTTTCCGTCAAGTTTGCAGTGAATGCGTCCGCGAGGAATCCATCGTCTGGTTGTCTCTACCCGTGACTCCAACCGCCTATCGCAACGGATAGCCGCCTGGCGTCTTGGGTAATAGCTAGGCATCAAGTCTGAACCAAATTCCTTGCTCCCTGCAATGAAAGTTGACGGGAAAGATGAAAATACTCGCACCGACTCAGCGAGGTGGAAGTGCGTGAGAACCGATTTCTTCCTCGCCGATCGGCTAAAAATCGGATGCGCATTTTCAACGACGCTGGTTCAATTTTTTTCAAATGGCAACCCATACTTCTGGAAGCGTATTTCGATGGGTATGGACATCTTCCAGTGGCCAGTGGCCGTCTACCATGGCTAAACATCTCCAATATTCGAAAATAGAGGCACAAACTGGGTGAGGTCTGCCTGTCGACGGAAGTCGACAACAGCACTGGGGATTGCATGTTTACTCGTCGACGCAAGTCGACACTGGCACTCGGAGTGCATGAATGCGCTGTCGACTGCAGTCGACAGCGGCAGTGAAAGGGTTAAAATAGCTCAAACAACTACATGTACATGCTACAGTCTGTGCCAGTCCACTGTCAATGTGTAGCACTTAGCATGCCAGTCCACTGTCAATGTGTAGCACTTAGCATGCCAGTCCACTGTCAATGTGTAGCACTTAGCATGCCAGTCCACTGTCAATGTGTAGCACTTAGCATGCCAGTCCACTGTCAATGTGTAGCACTTAGCATGCCAGTCCACTGTCAATGTGTAGCACTTAGCATGCCAGTCCACTGTCAATGTGTAGCACTTAGCATGCCAGTCCACTGTCAATGTGTAGCACTTAGGCTGTGTTTACATGAGAAATTTCAACCCGGGTCGAGTTCAGCCCGGGTTGAAAGTCTGTACGATAGACAAAAGAGGTGAGCGTTTACATGAAGACAGTTGACCCGGGTCAAATACTGATATGCCGCCAAAAGTCCACTTCTACAGTCCTCTATGGTCACGTGAATCCGTTCGCGCGAAATTTGCATGTGCAGTGCTGTTCAAACCTGGCGCGAGATACGCACAGAAGTACGTTTGTACGATTTTCTTGACCCGGGTTGGTTTCAACCCTCCCCTTGGGGGGAGGGTTGAAATCAACCCGGGGCGAAATTTCAACCCGGGTCAAGCGCAATGCGTCATGTAAACGCGCCATTCACTTTGTGCACATGGGGGGTTGAAATCTGACCCGGGTCGAACTCAACCCGGGTTGAAACGCCTCATGTAAACACAGCCTTAGCATGCTAGTCCACTGTCAATGTGTAGCACTTAGCATGCCAGTCCACTGTCAATGTGTAGCACTTAGCATGCTAGTCCACTGTCAATGTGTAGCACTTAGCATGCCATTCCACTGTCAATGTGTAGCACTTAGCATGCCAGTCCACTGTCAATGTGTAGCACTTAGCATGCCAGTCCACTGTCAATGTGTAGCACTTAGTATGCTAGTCCACTGTCAATGTGTAGCACTTAGCATGCCAGTCCACTGTCAATGTGTAGCACTTAGCATGCCAGTCCACTGTCAATGTGTAGCACTTAGCATGCTAGTCCACTGTCAATGTGTAGCACTTAGGCTGTGTTTACATGAGGCGTTTCAACCCGGGTTGAGTTCGACCCGGGTCAGATTTCAACCCGCCATGTGCACAAAATGAATGGCGCGTTTACATGACGCATTGCGCCTGACCCGGGTTGAAATTTCGCCCCGGGTTGATTTCAACCCTCCCCCCAAGGGGAGGGTTGAAATCAACCCGGGTCAAGAAAATCGTACAAACGTACTTCTGTGCGTATCTCGCGCCAGGTTTGAACGGCACTGCAGATGCAAATTTCGCGCGAACGGATTCACGTGACCATACAGGACTGTAGAAGTGGACTTTTGGCGGCATATCAGTATTTGACCCGGGTCAACTGTCTTCATGTAAACGCTCACCTCTTTTGTCTATCGTACAGACTTTCAACCCGGGCTGAACTCGACCCGGGTTGAAATTTCTCATGTAAACACAGCCTTAGCATGCCAGTCCACTGTCAATGTGTAGCACTTAGCATGCCAGTCCACTGTCAATGTGTAGCACTTAGCATGCCATTCCACTGTCAATGTGTAGCACTTAGCATGCCAGTCCACTGTCAATGTGTAGCACTTAGCATGCCAGTCCACTGTCAATGTGTAGCACTTAGCATGCCAGTCCACTGTCAATGTGTAGCACTTAGCATGCAGACAAGCAGCAGCACACCAGGATATCCACTATGAATGTCTGGCATGGCGCAGACAAGCAGCAGCAGCCGCTGAGCAGCAGCAGCACACCAGGGTGACAAAACAACAAGCAGCGAGTCCTCACGTGATTCCCCCCGATGTCCGGCCATCTGCGTGCCTCCTTTCTGCCAGGATTTGATCCGGATGGGAGGCGTGTGACGCAGCTAGAGCGGCTGTCTTCTCAGCCAGCAGATGGTTTACTGAGAAAGGAGCACACCACCAAACAAGAGAACAGTTCACATATCCAGCTCCAGGCAAACACATGTGAAATACTGTGCAGTCGTTCTCGTACGAATTCGACCTTCATGACGGTTTTGGCACGACTAAAGTGCTGCTCAATGAAATCCGAGCGCGTGAATCCAGTTTGCACGCTGTGTAAGTTCACGTCCCAGTGTCTGCAGGTCTATATTACTAGGTACTAGGTACTAGGTCTGCACAGCGCACGGCGCTTACTGGACTCACAAGATCGGATTTCATTGAACAGGACAGCATACTGTAGTGTCGCGCATAAAAGCATGACCCGTATAGAAGCATGACTCGAATAGAAGCCGATTTTTTGAAGAGCGGCGTGACACAGAAGCAGGATTTGAATAGAAGTAAACGTGCAAGTACATGTATGTGCACACTACATGCATGACAATGTAGACTGAAGATTTTGACGTAGAAGCATGTTTTGAATAGAAGCATCACTTGAATAGAAGCATGACTTGAACCCCGGCTTATACGGCCGAAGCACCTGCTTTTATACGCGACATTACGGTAGTGACCGAAGAACGACAAACAAATAACCTTCCTCGGAAAAAAATAGTGCAGACCAGCTGGGGTGGGTGTTTGCAGTGGACTTTATGGTATAAGAAACCACACAAGAAAAAAACCCCAGCTAGACTGATCTGGGTATTAGTGACTATCTATGACTGCTCTCACCCAGTGTCTCGTCCAGTTGTATGAGACTGTGTGCAGCAAACAAGCGCAGGGGATGCACCTTCAGCATAAACCAAAACATGCAGACACACACACATGTATGCACACACACACACACACACACACACACACACACATGTATGCACACACACACACACACGCAAGTATGCACGCACATACGCATGTATGCACACACACGTGCACAAACACACATGTACACAAATGTATACACATGTACACACATGTACACACATGTACACACATGTACACACACACACACACACACGGTCAGCATTGTCAAGAGTACATGAAAACCAGAGTGTGCAGCTCGGATGGGTTGCTGTCACGGCGGAATTCCGTGATTACATCATTTTAGTGATGTAGTGCGTACAAGCAGGATTCAAGCAGGTCTCTTTCTGCACAACTACAGCTCAGTTGTACGCACTACGCCATTTCCCGCCTCAGATATGCGCCAAACATGATGTGATCACGGAATTCCGCCGTGACAGACACCCATAGTAGAAAAGGCCCCAAGCTGCACACTCTGGTTTTCATGTACTCTTGGTATTGTTAATGGGCACAAAAAACAGGCCTCCGACTATGGCCTCCGACTATGGATCATCTCACACACAACCACACTGCAGAAAGACACCTTACCGGCATTCACACAGTAACACCATTGAAGGACTTGTAGTCGTATCCACACATCGTAGAAAGACCATTATAAAGGGCATCGTCAACCCACTAACACACTCCAAGATGCATCATGGATTTGACCAAATACAGTGTCATACGTTTCGTCGGTAAAATCGGTTTGGAGGAATGTACGTGGTAGGCGTTTGTGTGAAGCAGACATGTATTACATAACACTGCTCTGCCTACCTCAAAGATCAATGGGTGAAGAAGTAGGTCACGGGCTGAAAGGCGCTGATCACGAGTGGTCAGACACAATTGTAGGAAAGCCTGCGTTAGAATGACAACGAAGATGACGACGACAACAACAACAGCCACAGTAACAACATCCACAATGAGATGAAAGGTTTCAAACAACAAACGGTGCTAAGCAAGAGTGATGTAACGAACCATGAGTTTAACCAACGAATAATCTAGCGGATACCACTCCAGCGAACGAACGATTATTCTACTATGCCACAAGAAAATTCATCATTGACAATTATCAAGAACTATTGCAAACGCGAAGTGTACATGTAGCAAACACACAACACAAGCGCTCAGACTTGAGTCAGAGTAGAGTTTACCATGGTCTACAGCGCGTGGTCCAGTCGTTCTCTGCAACACAGCACACAGTTTATGCATTCAAGTCGAGAGATCTAGAGCCGTGCGCGCGGTACGCAGCGCACGGACTTCGCCCGCCCGTGAATATTCGAATTTTCGAGCCTATGACCTAGATTTTATCCGATCGATTATTCATTGAGGTCAAAGAGATCGAGGAAATTCGAATAATCAATTAGGCGTGACATCACTACAGTACTAAATAACGTTACGAAAACACCAAGTAGTATGTAGTACGCGCGGCCAGCTCTGTTGGTGACCTGCTGAACAGTCTGTCATACACTACTATATATTGACCTTTGATAAATACCCACACTCATTAGTGACCACACCATCAACAGTATCAAATTCAAATAAACTTGCTTGACTCAATAAATACCACTGTACTTTTCCATGCAGCACTGCACTTTTCCCTAAAAAGGAGTATTTTATAAACAGTATTTATTGGCCTTAGTGGTATTTTATAAACAGTATTAATTGGCTTTTGGGCCAATAAATACTGTTTATAAAATACCACTATTATAGGCCAATAAATACTGTTTATAAAATACTCCTTTTTAGGGAAAGCGAAGGTCAACATATGCATACATAATAAATAAATAAATTCGACGGGTTCGCGTACCGGGCAGGTCAAGAACAAGGACTCGTACAACTCCCTGGTCAAGAACCACCTTTCCGCTTCCGTGGGACGCCACCACCCCATGATCAGGCGTCAGATGCGGCTCCTAAACGGTGGGGGAGGATAGATCAGATCCACTCTCCTTGTTAACTCTCCTTGTTAACTCGCTAGAATTAGCACTTCGTTATATTCGTTATATATAATATACTGTAATTTCACAAATTTTCGGTGTACTTTTATTTTCGGTACTTTCGGTGCAGCTGTTTCATACCTAAAATTTCAATACACCGAACAAACACTAACACGCATAATCCCGTAGAGAACTGCTTCTCTGTACCGAAAATTTCTGTTCACCTAACCTGGCCTTTTGCCCTCATACCGAAAAAATTGAGCACTGAAAATTTCTGAAATTAGAGTATATGGCTTTTACAGTAGCTGTACGTCTTATGAGAGAACGCCATACCCGTACGCATTCGTATATGCGCGTATGGGAGGAAAATCCGCGCGACGGAAAACAGACAGTACTAACCGGGTGTGCATTTTACCTGGGTATGTACTAAGATTTCTGTCAATACGATTCCCACATTAAATGTTCTGATAATTCGAACCTCGAACCGGACATGTCCGGTTAATAAGAAGTTCCACGATTCCACTTACAAAAAAAGTGTGGGATTTGTGCTGATAATTCAAAGTTAGCAAAGTGTAATTCGAAGTTAGCAAAGTGTAATTCGAAGTTCACTGTACACTGTACTGGTCAGTTCAGTTTGCATGAGCAGGCTGTCCCGGTCAGTTCAGTATCCGTGAAATCTGTGTCTAGGGTCCATAGCGCAGCTCTGCGTGACCATGAGAGCATTTTGACACACATATTGTGTTGTGGGTTCATGTTTGGATAATTAGAATGTCCGGATAATTTGAAACTCGGATGTTGAGCCAATAATAAATGTAGAAAGGAAAGGACATATGGATACGAGTTAAGAGGAACTCTCCACCACTGCAACTATATACTATATACAGTCAGAAAGTGCAACAACGGATAATTTCGGATAATTAGAATTTTTTTCCTGGCATTTCGAGTTTCGAATTATCAGGATTCCACCTGTGCTCGTATGTATCTTGACAGAACGAGTCAGCACAGAAACAGAGCCAACACACCCATACCACGACCTTGACAGAACGAGTCAGCACAGAAACAGAGCCAACACACCCATACCACGACCCGACACATACCCTTTGGTTCTCCTCGTCCAATTTCTTCACAGCATTTATAGTGGCATCGTGACTCCCTACCGGCGGAGCATGTGTCTCGCCATCCTCTGAGCCACCGTTACCCTGCAGCTCCATGGACGCCATCTAGATCAATGCATGCATGCACACACCCACATGCAGAAGAAAGAGAGAGAGAGAGAGAGAGAGAGAGAGAGAGAGAGAGAGAGAGAGAGAGTGGGAGAGAGGGAGAAAGAGTGGGAGAGAGAGAGAAAGAGTGGGTTGAATGTCGAACCTCCTTCTTGATGCTGGTGATAGGAAGCAACGTGCGCCGAAGATTGTTGTGGAAGGTGTTGAAGATCATGGCAATATCAGCAAAAATGACATTAGGGTTGTGTTGCGGTCGTGTAGTGAAGGGGAGAAGCCATCTTACCCTATGCCCATCATGGACGGCGAGAAGTGTACAAAAAAAGAGAACCTTTGTGAATGCTAAGCACCTCACTTCAACAGAGTTTCAGTCTCGTCAATTCAACGATTGCATCAGAGGTTTATCGAATGGATCCAGCGATGAAGAGAACAACCCAGTGACTGAACCTCCACGTGCAGAAGACAAGAATCGCCCGGATTCGTGTTCGTGTAGGAACAGTGGACATTGATGAAAACGGGCACCAGTTGAAGGAAGATGCCGGATGTCGTGTGCAAGATGACTAGAACTAGGAAGAGGATGGCATGCAACAATGACAACAGCGGTTGGACTGATTCACTTGTGATGGCTCAAGCCCTTAAAACGGTGAAACGACATGCAGTATCACACAGGAGATCATGGGAATAACCCACAGCACGCGCCTTCGAGGAAGGCTGAATACGATGGATAAAATATTTGTTTGGTGGCGGGTCGAATTATTGGATACATTCGTTCGAAGAATTCATGGGCGGTTTAAACAGACATGAATGGTGCATATGGCCTCACCTCCAACGCACACACTCCAAAAGCATAGATGTCAACACCAGTATATACACCTTGGCCTGCAGGACGACAATCAGGCAAGAACACAAGACCTGTTTCATCACAAATTCCATACATTTAGAGAGAAAGAGAAAGAGAGAAAGAGAGAGAAAGAGAGAGAAAGAGAGAAAGAGAGAAAGAGAGAGAGAGAGAGAGAGAGAGAGAGAGAGAGAGAGAGAGAGAGAGAGAGAGAGAGAGAGAGAGAGACAGAGAGGGAGGTGACTATACATGAACTGAGCACTGCAGTTAACTGGCAGCTATACTCGTGGCATGCTGGGATGAGGTCTTGCTTAGAGGAGTGCAGCGCTCAGACAGTTGCAACATGTAATGATCAGCAATTCCAAAAAGAAGTTGGGACCATAACCAAACTGGAACAGTGTTTTAACTTACCATACTCCGGTGATATGTAGTGGAGGTTGCGGCGAGGCGCCGAGTACGTCTTAACATGGTCATTGATGGCATCCGGAGCGACTGAACAAGTACGACAACACACCAAGTAGGCAGCATGTGAATAAAGACATCTAGCATCTACAATAGAACAAGTATCCGGTTCTTCATCTTTTACTGCAAAACCGGAAAGTTAAACGACCAAAAAGTTTAACGCTTTTGTAATTTTGGCATGATAACGTGCAGAAAGTTTAACGATGGCTACTGGCCACCCATCTGTATGCGCATCTTTACACAGACATCTCAAACCGGGTTCGCGATAACGTTTCTTCAACTAACGAAAAAAATTGGTCATTAAAACGATGGACTTTGTGACTCGTTAGACTTTCCGGTTTTACAGTATTGAGAGTCCACCCGTATTGTTAGACGAGAAGGCAGACATGCATGGGTATATGGTGAAGTAAAAGAAAAACAAACAAACAACAAACAAGTTGGCGGGGGGGGGGGGGGGCTTAGGGTACATTCCTTCATTCTTCGTGCTCTTCTAGTTTCTTGGCAGGAAAAGAGAAAACGTTTGGAGTGGGTTAGAACTAAGAAAAGATCCAGAGTTGTTTCTGTACAGTCCGTCATGGTAATCATGAAAAACATAGGGCACGAGTTGAATTCCCCAGGTTGTGCCAAACAGGGCCCAAAAGTCCATACTGGGCCATGTGCACTGTATAATGCTGAAGTCACAAAGCTTTTACTTTCTTCAACAACCTGGCAGAGTCAGTTGAGCTTGGCTGGCTCTGCTGGTTCAGGTAGAGGATACAAAACACACCTCCATTTTTTTCTCTGAAACTGCCAGTTTTGTAGCCAATGCAGCATCATATTTAAAAATATAAAAGAGAAGCAGTGTTAAAAAAACATGCCAGTTTTGAGAGAGGATAGTGGCAGCAACAGGTAGATGAAACCAACAGTAACATACTTCAAGTACTTCACGTGATAGGCAAAGTACACATGCACAGGTCTCGTGCTATGTACTACGGGGTACCCTCGGTCTTACCTGAGCCGATTTTGATGAGCCCATTGTGCTGGATGAAGATTGTGTCACAGTTCAAACCACCGTGGGTGATCGGTGGGTCACAAGCATGCAAGTAGCTACACATCACCACCACCAGCACCACCAGCACCACCACCAACAACAACGGCAACAACGGCAACAACAACGGCAACAACAGCAGCAACAACAGCGGCAACAACAGCGGCAACAACAACAACAACAACAACAACAACAACAACAACAACAACAACAACAACAACAACAACAACAACAACAACAACAACAACAACAACAACAACAACAACAACAACAACAACAACAACAACAACAACAACACGTACATCACATTGTTACACCAGAGTAGGTTGACTACAATATGCATACTCACATTATAGATACTCCTGAACTCACATCATAGCTACTCGCTCGTATACTAACAGCATAACCTAGTTACTCATAATATCTACCGTGTTTGCCAGTGTATAATGCACACCGGAGTACAGTATAACAGTTAAAGGGGAAGTTAAGGCAAAAATCAAAATTTCACCAGTTGTAGTCTTCGGGGTGCCGAGTCGAATGGTCTTGGTCCGAGAAAGCTGAGACTCTCCCTTCCTACTTGAATCCCAATCGAACTCGCGCACTTCCACCGAAACTGGGTGACTGCGCCCTACTAGATGGGGATTTGTATGCAAAATGTCACTAAAAGCGCCATTTCCTTCTTATAAAAGCACGGATGACCGCGATTGGCCCATATGTTGTAGTCTTTTGGATGCTGAGTCGACTGGTTTTGGTCCGAAAAGGCTGCGATGCAGCGTTCCTCCTTTATTCCCAATCCAACATGGTTGAACAAGCGGTCACGTGCTCCTGGGTGCCCAAATCACCTGGTCACCACGCCAGCAGGCGACAACTTTCACACCAAGGTTCAACTCGAGTTCAACTCGAGTGACAGGACTGCACCCAAAAAAGGTCAAACAGGCTAGTAAGTTGTACCCTGCAGGCACGGTGACCAGGTGACTGGTGTACGCAGGAGCACGTGACCGCTTGTTCAACCATGTTCAATTGGGAATAAAGGAGGAACGCTGCATCGCAGCCTTTTCGGACCAAAACCAATCGACTCAGCGTCCAAAAGACTACAACATATGGGCCAATCGTGGCCATCCATACTTTTATAAGAACGAAATGGCGCTTTTAGTGACATTTTGCATACAAATCCCCATCTAGTAGGGCGCAGTCACCCAGTTTCGGTGGAAGTGCGCGAGTTCGATTGGGATTCAAGTAGGAAGGGAGCGTCTCAGCTTCCTCGGACCACGACCATTCGACTCAGCACCCCGAAGACTACAACTGGTGAAATTTTAATTTTTGCCTTAACTTCCCCTTTAATGCGTACTGCACTCACATCACAGCTACATGTACTCCTACAGTCGCTGATACACAAATGCACATGCATGCATAAGTGCATATGTTCGGACGTACATTGGTCTATGAACAGACTCGATTCAACAACAATGTAAGCAAGGACACCAGGTGACGAAGCCTACGCTGCCAAACACACACACACACGCACACACACACACGCACGCACACACACACACACACACACACACACACACACACACACACACACAGCACAATGTACTAGCATACACCCTTTACAGGATCTGCAGTACATACCTCAAGGCATACAGAATCTGACGGCACCACCTTTTCCACATCTGTGTGTGTCGTGACAGCACAATTGCACAAAGAGAACACAGAGAACAAGTAGTCAAACAACTGCCGTCCAAGCACACAGCGCATGTGGACAATCATGACATACAGTAGACTCGAACGCCCAAGAACGCGGTTTCAGAGGGCCAGCCTAGCAAAGTTCTTATTTTTCAGCGCCCCAGGCTACGTTCTTATTTCGCGTTCTTACGCGTCCAACATGACCCGTGACGCTCATGTACAATGCACTTTGCGCTACATGTACCGGTTGTACACTTTACATGCACGTGTAGTATGTAGCGCTGCATTGGGTGATGTTTTCGCGAGGACCCGACAAGAGTTTGTGGTTCCGGACTTGTTTTTCTTGTACTCGGACAAGATCATGAAGGTGCAATACCAAAAAATGTCGTGTTCTTAAAAATCTTGGAGTTCGTTCTTAAATCCAGGCTGGGGCGTTCTTAGATTTCCAGCCTGGACGTTCTTGGGCGCCACGTTCTTGGGCGCCACGTTCTTGGGTGTGCGAGTCTACTGTAGTGCAGTCGGTATGGATAGCAAACTTGGTCAATGTTGTCCTCAACAAGATACTGTAAGTCAACAAATATTCGGCGCATATTTATTTTCGGCCTGGTCATGTTTGGCCGAAATTTTGTTGCGGCCGAAATTTTGTTTTTCAAGGTTCAGTGTGACAGTGTATACAGGCGGCAGCAGTACAGGGCGAAAATGTGATGCGGCCGAAATGGGTTTTAGCCAGGGAGGCCGAAATTCGAATGGGCCGAACTTTGGTAGACTTACAGTACAGAAGTGCACAGTGGCATGCAATGGGCTAGCATAACACAAAGATGGCAAGAACACACCTTCAAGTTGACACCTTTCTTGTTCTTCTTGCTGCGCCTCAAAAACTGTCCGATTGATCCGGATGTCATATACTCGGTGATGAAGATCACCTATGGAAAACATCGAACACAAAACACGGATATAGAGCAACAACAACAACAACAACAACAACAACAACAACAACAACAACAACAACAATGACAACAACAACAACAACAACAACAACAACAACAACAACAACGGCAACGGCAGCAGCAACAGTGGCAACAGCAGAAGCAGCACCACCACCAACCAAGATATCTCATCCCTACTGCTAAACTCAACCTGCTCATGCACGAGCCACACTCACCCGTACGCCTAGTTAGCACACTGCTAATCATGCAATTCCTTTAGTCAAGCGTTATATCAACTCTCTATATGATATAAATCTCGCTCTGTCATCACCCATTGGCCACAGGCCATCGTGAGAACAAAGATTTGAAACAACAACAACAACAACAACAACAACAACAACAACAACAACAACAACAACAACCTCTTATTGGCGATGGTGCCATCGTGAGAATAAAGAATTCAACAACATACCTGCACACCTGCATACATACATACATGTACATACATAAATCCGTTGATCCCCGAGCTGCAGAGAGTGCTCAATGTCATAGACGGAGCTTAGAACATAGCAGACATAGCAGAGAACGTTCAGGTCCATTGGAACTCCGAGTTTCATGCCACAAGGCAATCATCCGACAAGAAAGGCTGGAGGCATCAGAGGGAGCCTACTTACACGGGTGGGGCCTTCAGACTTGTCATCTATCCAATACTTGTAAAACTTGACAATGTTATTATGCTGCACACACGGTAAAGCAGGCAAGTGAATATGCACAAATGTACATGCATGTACGCACACCGACACAGAACAGCACGATGAATGGCAGGCCCCGTAAATAATGCACACACCACACACACACACACATACGCACACACGCACGCACGCACACAGCAGCAGTAAGGCGAGTGACAATACTTGTAAGTATGGTCTAGCTAGTACTGGAACACCAAACTTGAGGCAAAATGACAGGAGGCGAAGAGGGTTCTTTGTCATTCGGTCGCGTATTACGCGGTGCATGTATTGTCAGAGGAAATCAAATTCGAATTCAGCAAACACCATCTAAATACACATCAAAGAATTTGCAGCTGAAGAGTAGAACACTGTATTACCACTGCACCAGACCCAGATGCCCGCCAAAACTGCACTAACCCGAAGTTTGGTGAGATTGTTGAACGTCTTCTCCAAGCGACTCTGCGCAGAGAAACAAAACAAAAACAAAAACCAGGCCCATTTCATCACGTACGCTAACATCTGCGTAAATAGCATGAGAGCAAACAGTCATGGGGAACTGACTGGCTGACAAACAAACCCAGTGCACTGCTCACCTTCTGCAGGCGAAACTTCTTGCGTTCCGAAAACTGCATTTCGTTCCACACCACTTCGACGCCCTCTTCAGTGTCCATAGCCAAGTAGGTTGCATCAATACCGGGCACATCCTTCTGCGTCACCTAAGCAAGCGGCAATGCACGGGGAGGACATGGTCAAACACAAAATACTGTTACAGAGTCGCTGAATGATGAAGGCAGCGCGCCGTGTGTATGGCCTATAGAAAAGAGATCACAGTCGCATACTGTTGTTTATGGACTCTTGCTACCATGCACAACATTCATGACAGCATTGCAAAGCAACCTTTTGCAGGGCCAGATGATAATTGAATGAATTCCACGAAAAGTCGATTCGTTGCTCCAGAGGCTACGGCTGCTTGTAGTCTTTCCCACTTGAACCATTACATGTCGGGCATCCTATATATAGGATTTTGGTCATATTTTTCAACTCAAAATGGGTGTGGCATGAGCATAGGGAAACGTATGTGACCAATTCTTCCGTGTTAGGTCTTAGTCGATAAGGAGAGTTGAATAAGATAATTTTTTCAAATACTAACATCTAAGGCTCATCTCCTTGCGCAATATTTCATAAAGGACTGTACCCTATTTTTCGAATCCAATACTGTAAATATACAAATTTTCGGCAGCTATTTAATTTCGGGTATATTCGGCACCGACCCAAAACGCCTAAATTAAAACGCCGATGAAATTTTTCACAGCATCTGTCGCACTACCCTCTACCCCATGCCGAAAATAAATCGCCGCCGAAATGTCAAAAATCGTCAAGTGCCGAAATTTTGCAGCGCCGAAATTTTGTATACCGTACTGGCAATATATATGGTCGCAGCGAGGCCATGAAGCGTTACATTGGCACATGTTTACCGCACGCAGGGCGTTACATGCAAAGTCGCACAGGAGCCGTTACACAGGTTTCTATATTGCCGCAGTCCTTTTTTTTGCTATTGCCGCATCACTTTTTTGCTATTGCCGCATCATTTTTTTGCTATTGCCGCATCATTTTTTGCAAACTGCAATGAAAAGATCGCCGCACCCGCGTTACGAACGCAACGAAAATGTGTCGCACTAGCCTGGTCGCGCGTTACGCCGCACCCCCCTGCGTTACGCATTACGCGGCAACATATATTGCCAGTACGGTATTTACAGTATATAGGATTTGAGATTTTACTGGACCTTGTATTATCCTTAAAATTGGTAGTTTCACGACGGCATGTGCGATATGTCGTCATGAAACCACCCCGTGCCACACCTATGTTCTTTTGCACATTCACCGTTTCAGTCGTTGCCATGACACCAGCTGAACAATGCTGCTCAAAGTTCCAATTCTTGCTGAAAATGGGTATTCATGATGTCCTATGAATCTAAAAAGTAAACATTCATGCCTCAAACGCATTTACGGCTTCTATGAAAACCATTATACCGTTATCATGGGTCATGAATGACTCATGATGACCAATAACAACGGCATAAAGGTCACACATTTCAAATCCTATACTGTAAACCGTGAAATTATTGCGATGGTCTAATTTCTGCGAAATTCGCGACCGCGTGGAAATCGCGAAATTTAGACAGCGCGAAAAGGAGATCCATGAAAGGTTTAGCAAGAATGCCACAGTAGCACATTCTGCAATCGCAAAATTAAAACCTCGCAAACCTGTCCGGATTCTGAAAACGCGAACTAAAAACGCCGCGAAAATTTCACGCTTTACAGTATATAGGACTTTTTGCCAGCAAATTAAGAGATATTAAACTCTCCTTGCCACGCACTAACCTATGAAAACTCTCATTAAATTGATAATTTAAAATTGAGCTCAAGAAATACCTCGTCTTTCCTCTTCTGCCAGCGCCCGCAGGGACTTTCCTCCAACACTTCATCCTCGTCGCTACTAACGTCATCATTTTCTGCCTCGGCTGCTTCTCCTATTGGTCTACTCGCCGCACTGCCTTCAGCAGTGGTAGGTCGGATAGATTGCATTTTTCAGCAAAACAGTACGAAAACACACAAACTGACCTGGCCTAGCTAGGGATACTGTACCACTAGCGTCCGGCTACTTCATCCACACAAAAAATAATAACCACAAGCACGCAAAGCAGTACAGATGAGAACAAGATTGATGCCAATGATGCCAATGACTCAACCTACAACAGTTGAAAATGACAGAAGAAGGTCGAACCAAAAATGAAAATGAGAACAGGTGTCTGAGGTGAGCCTTCGCTTTGGTCCTTCTCAGTTTCTGTCTTTGAACGATACCATGAGTCCATGTAGTAGTAGGCGAACCACACAAGTACAAGCTGATCAGCTGACGTGACTTGATCGATGATGTCTGATCTGATGAGATGTGAGGTGAATAATTTTTCTCTCCGATGACGTATTCTGGATGCAAGCCGAACATGCATCAGTCCGATCTGATTTTGCATGTTTGTACTCAAGTTTTGTGTGGTTTCTCTCTCACTTGTATTGGGAGTTCAAGTGGATCATACATGGTCTGTCATCATGGTCGTGTAGATGGCAGTGTCCCCAGTGCGGACATGTCGACAGTAGACACATGTCCTTTTCACCTCACGCTGCGGAGTTTAGCAGGCCAGGTACAGCCAGGTCAGGTATGTGCCGGTCTGGAAATCCCCTCCTTTTCGTGTGTTTACACAGGATGTAGATGATCCGTGAAAGCAAGTAAGTAGTTAGTAGTTTTGTACATTGTTAGTAATACTAGTACACTGAAGTTTCCATGCATGTACCGATCACCATCATCTTTCCAACAACACAACACATAATAATATATTTCTTTAATTCTGTGTTTTGGGAATGGGAGAACTTCAAAAAATTTTAAATGTCAATTCCCAGTGATTGTTGACGTACATGTATATGTAGTCATGTGTAAGGCCGCAACCACACTACGTAAAAATCACAGTACAAATTTTCATGCATATCTCAGTACAAGTCGGTACTCAACCACACTACACTTTTCGGTCTGCATAGATGACGTTTTCACGCGACCAGCACGTGACGTTGTCGTACCAAGGCGTGTGCCATGCGCTGGAAAAGACCGGGAAATTCAAAAACAATGCTGATGCTGATGCTATGTACGATGACCCGGTACAAAAGCAAAGTTGTACACAGCAGAAGGAGCGCGAAAACGACGAAAACGACAAACGTGGCTTTCTACAGGGGTGCGCCAGTTGCTGAAAACCTACAAAGCGCATTTTGCATTTCGCACGCGTCGGCATGACGATTTCTACTGTAATGCCGTTTGTACGTGATTTTGTACCTAGTGTGGTTGCAGCCTAATGTCCTCTCCAAATGATTAGCAACTGGAGAGGACATTACACACTGAGACCGACATCCAACAACAGGACCGCCAGAAGCAGTTTCCGATTGGTCCAGTAGTATTGTGTCCTGTCATACTTTGTGTGTCGATATGGTATATGGTGGATACACATGCCCTCCACGGTAGTAAACACAATCAAGTCATGTTGGTGGCCAAATGGTTGGTCTGGTGATAACCGGACCATGCGGACCGGTTCCGGCGGCTAACACCCTCTCTCTTTGTATTGGCCGGTGTTCTCACTGTGCTATGAGATGCTGTAATAAATAATAATAAACAACGAACAAAACACTCAACTGATACCAGACTTCCAGGACAAATAAGTCGGATCATTTTAACAAAAGACTCCCTGGGGTCCAAGGGTCCGAACCGGGGCCAAGCCATACGGTTCGAATGGTCGCAAGACTGGGGCTCTGCCAACCGATGATCGTTTTAGTCAGGAGCACTATTTTCGACACAGTGCGTCCTCCACCGTGTAACTTGCTGTCAACCGACCAACATGTTATCTACCAAGCAAGGCTTACATTATTATACCATATATACACAGAAGCCTTGCTTGGTAGTTTAACATGTTTTTCGATTTTGACAGCATGTTACAAGGCGAGGCAACACAACGACATCTACAACACACAAAAAAGAAATTTTTCTGAATCCCACCAACCCCTAGAGTAACGAGGGTCCAAACCTGGGTTTTCCCAATACGGTTCAAATGGTCGCAAGACCGGGACTCTGCCAACCGGGTTATGGTTGTAGTCGGGAGCACTACGCGTCCTCGCCTTGTAACATGCTGTCAAAATCGAAAAACATTATTATACCATGTAGTTACGGAACAACAAGGGCAATCAAGGCTTGTTCTGTATTACGCTCTGCCTGTCAGCACACTGGTGTATCCTCCGGTACCATGTAGTCGAATGTACATGTGAATACTGGTAACCTTAGCTGTACACCGGCCACCTGTCTGTGAGGTTGAGTAGGCTAGATATTAAAGGAATGAATTGTTTGAAACATGCCACAAACCTCATCCACAGTAACTATTGTTACCCTCATCTACTTAAAACCTACGAGAGCTGGGAATAGAACACACAGCATGTACATCTCTCTATTGAGACCTCATTGTATTAATTTATAGCAAAGAAAAGGACCAAGGAACTACAAGTTACGCTATAATGTCCACCATCACCACCAGTTACTTGACAATCAGCTCATGCGATAACATTGCAGGACACTGACGGACGGTACTGACGTTCTACAACTAACTGCCAGTCAGCTCTAGCATGTCTTGGACGCGCACTCCAACAGCCTTCCAACTTGGAAGGTTCTTAAAGTTATATTATGATATTAAATTTGAGCCTCTAGATCCGAAAAGGGGGCTTATGTCGTTTCGCGCCGTACTGAGAAAAATGCATTTGAAAGTAGAGTTTTCCGCCTAAAGCGATGTATAATTCACTTATTGAAACACCCATAACTCTGTGAAAGATGAAGATTTTGGACCTAGGTTTTTTACAGAGTCAGATCTGCTGCGGTACAGCAATGTCATGGTATAGATAACTCAAAATGTTCAAAAATGACATAAGCCCCCTTTTCGGATCTAGAGGCTCTTATGGTAAATTATTACTTGGAAATAGTAATAAAATAATAGGAGGAGAAGGTGCACGCAACAAAGACCAGCACAAGCTGAAAGTCTCCGCTTGCACGTGCACTGCACGCGCACCCACATGCACTGCACGTGCACTCAAAGTAGAACCTGTCCTCCATTGGTGTATGTCGCGCGTAGCATGTCGCAAGAGTTGAACTTTCTTCAACTTCTGCGACAGGTGCCTTGCGACTGTACGCGACAGCTCGCCACAGGCATTTTCTTGTCGCAACTGTCGCCAATCGCGTGTCGTGTCGCAAAAAAGTTGTCTTGTGAATCGGCCTTTAGTGTCAAGTCAAGTCAAGTCAGCGGAAAAGCGGGAGCTCCAGTGCGGTGGGGAGCAAACACGTTGTATAAACACTACAGTGCCTGGTCATCGCACTGTCTCTAAACACTGACCGTCTCTGCTGCCCAGTGCTACCTGCCATGCATTGTACCATCCTGGCCAGAGAAATCCGACCTCGTTAACGTAATAGTGCCGGAGCTGCTTGGCCCTAGGCCCTAGCACCACACGCAGCACTCTGCTCACTTGAATGCGGCGTTACTTTATTTACGAGGTCGGATATCTCTGGCCAGATGTGTACTTAATTCGAATGTGCATACGACGTATACAGGTATTCCTACAGCCTACAGGGCTGAATTTGACTCTCTTTGCTCTTGCCATACTGCACGTGGGTCTGCCTGGCATAGTGGTCACATGTGGATCAACACTATTTACCCAGTTCCAACTTGAGCCCTACTGGCACTGCATGCAGCCGGACTCACCCATGTTGTCTTGAAAGAAACAGACGTAGATGATCGGGCATTATGTCGTTGCTCCCAGCCAGTACAGTAGCACACCCAGGAAATCGTATAAACTGTGTGTGTGTGTGTGTGCGTGCGTGCGTGCGTGCGTGCGTGCGTGTGTGTGTGCACGGGCATCAAGCACTATTAACAGTGGACGTTGACCACTGTGTGAAGTGTGTTTACACGACTTTCTGAACACACCCGTAAATATACAGTGTAGTATAGCTTCTGCTACAGTACACACAGTACACACACTACGCACAGTACACACACTACACACAGTACACACACTACATACACTACACACACTACACACACTACACACAGTACACACGGTACACACACTACACACAGTACACACGGTACACACACTACACACAGTACACACACTACACACACTACACACAGTACAAACAAGCAAACTATTCTCGGTGAAGTGGCGCCGTATGCTATCAACACTTATGTGAAAGAAGTGGTAAAGTATTCGAATAAGATAATATTTTTTTCTGTTCAGTCCCCCTAGTAGATAATTAGTAATTGATCATTAAACCATTGAAAGGACAGCAAGACACGTCACACCAGCTTAATGATAAGTATGAGCTGAACCAGACTGCATTAATTATCGATATGAAGCTGTCAGAGTAAGGCTAGTTGCAGAGCAGGTTGTGTCATAAAGAGAGAATATCTCAAGCCTCCGCTCACAATGGACTGGAAAGCAATGCCCAGCCACTGAGCTGCAATATGGCACTCTGCAGCCAGGTGAACAGGTAAAGGTACTACTACAACTACACATGCCAAGATAGTGAAAAGCACTCGGCGTTAAGCTATGAATGGAGCATGGGCTTGCTTAGTGCAAACGGGAGATTTCTCACCTCACCTATTTTCAAGGAACAATTAAATATCTCACACAGTTGAAATTCAAGGAGAAACGCAAATGCTATAAAAAGCCAATATCTCACACAGTTGAAATTCAAGGAGAAACGCAAATGCTATAAAAAGCCAACATGGTGTGTGTGCATGTGTGTGTGTTGTGTGTTTGTGTGTGGTGTTTTTGTGTGTGTTTGTGTGTGTGCGCGCGCGTGCGTGTGTATGTGTGTGTCAGCATAGCTAAACCGACACACACACATCTCAAGGCAAACTTTAGGTTATGCAAGAACAGCGTACAGCGGTGACACTACCTACCAAGCAGGAAACAAATCAGACAGCAGTCGGTCCACAGGGAAGTGTCCACTCTATGGAAAAAACGGATCACAAAGAGAACAGCATACAACCGGTAAGTATAATGTTGCTGCTGCTGCGACATTGGCCAGAGTAGCGCCATTTGATAGAAAACTGAACTTGAAAAATATGATCATGGATAACTAACACACAAAGAAGAGAAGCCAGTGCAGTGAAAATGTTGACGGGGCGTTGTTGCGGACGCATGTCTATTCACAAGTGGTACGAAAGGCCTCATCAAAATTTCAGTGGCTTCTTTGCTTCGTGTGTTAGTTTGCTTTTCCGAAAAATCTATTCGATCCTAAATCAGTGAGTGGCTTGTTTGCATTCAGTTACAACACACTAAGTTTTCATACTGCTCTTGCACAATACTTCACGGTGCAAACAAGGACTTACCAGTGAATCCACGGCTCAGCTCCCAAAGAGCAGCAACGCTTCCGCTCTCAAAGCTTCAGGGCGGGTAGAATAATCACAGGGGAGATCAGAAAATGCACACAGTGATGAAGTCATGCTGCGCTCGGATCACAAGGCCGGGAAAGAGTGAGGCGTTTTCAGCGTGCCATCATGCCCATGCCTTCAGTTGGAATGATCTACAGGTAGAATCCACTGAATCCTTTATCACCCCGGCGGTGTAAAGGCATGATGGCACCGCTCTGGCCAGGTTGTGTGCTAGGTGACCGGGCAACATGGAACAAGCAGCCTCACAGTGCTGCATTAGTCACCAACTTTTAATGGTGCATCACAAAAAGAAACTCGCAGGCCAGCCACTTGTTTTGCAGGTTTCTGTGAGTGTAACCCGATGCTGATTGCGTTGCTGCTGCAGCAGTATCATTACTACTTCAGTGAAATCACAACACTAGACAGGCATGCTGCAAGCTGCTGTGCACTTCGTTAACTAGGGATATCAAACACATTGGAAGGGCTGCAGGCTGTGATACACTGGCATTCTTACATACTGAACCAGACATCTTACGCATCCTTCTCTGCAGTAGTACGGTTAGTTTAGCATTCTTACCCGTTGCAGCGCTTGACAAAACTCTGCAGCTTGAGCGAGGACGCCACATGTGTCTGAAGCTGCCGTACCATTAAACTCCCGAGATTGCGTACATCTTCAGTGATCTCCTTCTCCTCGCCAGCAACCTATGGAAAAAATGATGAAAATGCAACAACAGTCATATCACTAGCTTAGTCAGCAGCCAGTTTTCCAACACATGAAATAATGTTGCTGGTGTGGAAATTTGTGACACGCGCACTCCATGGATATGTGTACGTATCGCAATCACGCTCATAGCATATAACAGCATAGTCTTGTAGTTGAAAATAGGCTGTTTTAGCGGGTTTCCAGAATCAGAGTTTCTTCACAAAAACGAGAAGACGTGTACATAATACCGGTACTCGGGGCTGCTGTCATTTTTTCTTACACGTTCCAATGTCCCAATTTCGTGTTCTGCTTTACAATCTTTTCACGGATAATATCTATTGAAACCGTGAGATCCCAGCTCAATAGGCATCCTCACAGAAGCAAAGTGACTCTCTTTCTACTAAAAGCTGACAAGGGCACCAGATTGGTATACAACTTACTATGAGAGAGCTCAAAGTATTCCAAAATGAACTTACTCTTGCTTTCGGAAGTGCCTTAGCTTGCATAGCACCGCAGTCAATGACAAGAATTGACAATGCTCGTCCCTGTTGCACTATGCCACTTTCTGCACATGCATACGCATGCATGCATACACCCACATATATACACATTCACATGTACACATGCACACACGCATGCACGCGCGCGCACACACACACACACACACACACCCATGTGTGTGTTGTGTCAAGTCAAATTTATAGAGAATGATAAGATGAGCATGCGGCATCAATAGGTCAAAGATGAGTTTGGGGCCAAAAATGGAACCATGTAACCATACATGCACATGCGCACAAAATGCTGAAACTAACCATCAATGCTCCACATCCCCCGGCACACAGGACTTGACTTGCCATGCAAGCAGATCAAGCCATATAGCAAGCGAAATACTTCCTCCATCCAGACGTGACCCTTCTCTCTTCCTTCACCAGCATCAGACAGCACCTCAAATCCTGTATCAAAGAAATGAGAATGACAGCATAATAGAAGAGCATACCACACGGCAAGAAGAAGAGGATGAAGATTCCGTTGCATGTTATGTTGCATGTTATGTTTTAGAACAGCATACCAACACGGACAATGTCCTGGCACACAAACATCCATCCAACATCCAAGCAGTTACCATGCAAACGGGAAACATGAAGCCAGTTCAAGATAACAGGTGTGATATACGATATTAGTTGAGCTTTCGGAACAGTCCTCACAGCTTTGAATAGTCCAGAGAATTGTGAGACACTGAGTGTATGTACAGCATGTGAGACAAGCACACAAATACCTGTGAATGGTGCTCTCTGCACTCCAGTAGCTACGGAAAAGTGCTCCGTGTCAGCTCCGAACTCATCCAGCGTGTATTTTCCAGGACCGGACATCGGCGATGAAACCACGACCAGATGATGGTCGGCTGCAAAGCGCATGCTACCCGGCTTCAAGTCGGTCTGAAGATCAGAATCAGCATGCACATTGAAGCACAGCACAGCAGACATCAGAGGCTGTGAACATCTGCATGCCGCATCTCAGTCTCATGAGAACCAGACCGAGCAGATGCTAATATCTACAAGATCACACGTCCGTCTGCGTATCAGCACTGTGACCGGACTGACCTTCAAGTGGGAGTTGCCATGGGTTACCTGCACCAGCGGAACGTTTTGGATTCCATCAAGTGACATATCCACTGTCAGTAACGCTAGGACTTGCCCGCGGAGAAAGTCCCCCAGCTCCGAATATACTCACAGAGCATAGATTAACGGCCGGACATCGGACATTTTCCGGCCATTTTCGGCCACTGACTGGACGTTTTCAATTTCACCGGACATAGTGTCCGGTCAAAAAAGTAAAAAAAGAGCAGCGACCTTTCGACCTTTTTATGCAGAGTTGGGCTTTCTTCGGAGCTTTGTGCCAAATGCGACTTGCATATCGTACAACTAACACGTACACCGTAGTCTCAGGCGTAGACTTATATATTTACTTGATCCGCCTGTAGCAACGCGTTGTTGCTACAGTCAATTCACACTTTCGACCGTTGGTGTCGACTTCGCACTTGAATCGATGGGTTGGACTGCTAGTGCAGTTGTTCGCTCTTGAGAGGAAGATGTCATCTTTTATTTTTCACTCTTTCACTGTACTACTAAAAAAAGAAAAGAAGAAACACCCTGAAAATGTGTTGTGGAAAATGTCCGGGCATGTCCGGACAGATTTCAAAACGGAAGGACATTTGTCCGAGCTAAATGAAATCCTTAAGCTATGCCCTGTACTCACTATACCCCACAACCCACAGTTGGCCGCAAAAGGCACACCTGGGTGTGCTTGAAGCCAGCAGCACAATCACAATCTACTACAGTACATGTACCTGTTGTCTGCACAAACCGTTTCTCCATTAACACACACACACACACACCCACACGCACACACACGCACACACACGCACACACACGCGCGCACACACACACGTGCACCCCCCCCCACACACACACACACACGCGCGCACCCACCCACACCCACACACACACACACACACACACACACACACACACACACACACACACAAACACACACACAGACAACCAGCACAGTGGTCCCACATACCATATCCCCGGGCCACTTGTTGATGACAAACATGCTGTGTAGTAACCGATCCATGGACTCCTGTTCAGCAAGGGGTATTAGTGCCTCGGACTTGCGGTTCGCGGACTCTGCTTTTGTATTCGCTGTCACTGCCAGAGTCGGATACACAACGCAGCTGCTGAAGTGTTCTGGAAATAGAATAAGCCACAAAAAGTAAAGAGAAGGGAGAGTCTAACTTGAGACAATGCACGGAACATCTACGCAGAATTAGGATTTCGAACGGACACTCACATGCACGTGGAACATGGATCTCTATGCAGCTCGATGCACTGAGAAGACCTCATCATTACACACACCTACGGCCGACACCTGAACAGATCTCTTGCTTAGAATCAAAGAATAACGAACACTTTGATAGCAGCACCTCGTTGGCTAGACGCTAACTTGCTGCCATGCCAAAGTCGAGGACATGTTAGCGTGAACACTGACCCCTGTACCCTCTGTTACACATACACACGTGCATAACACATAGGCACGTGCGTGTCACTGGTCTGCTGAGATCTCAGATACTCTCTTGTACCCTGGTTGCGGCAGAAAAACTTTCTTACGATTATTTGTTGCAAGCTGCATAAACTCCACTGGCCACCCAGCATAGACAGCCCCAGGGAATGCTAGCTTAGCCTACCTTAGTAAAGTAACATCAAGAGTACATGAAACCCAAAGTGTGCAGCTCTGATGGGTTTGCTGTCACGGCGAAATTCCGTGAATACATCATTTTAGTGATGTAGTGCGTGCAGGATTCAAGCAGGTCTCTTTCTGCACAACTGAAACCCAAAGTGTGCAGCTCTGATGGGTTGCTGTCATGGCGAAATTCCGTGAATACATCATTTTAGTGATGTAGTGCGTGCAAGCAGGATTCAAGCAGGTCTCTTTCTGCACAACTGCAGCTCAGTTGTACGCACTATGTCACTTCCCGCCTCAGATCTGTACAAAAAATATGATGCAATCCCGGAATTTAGCCCTGACAGACAGCCATGCAGAAAAAGTCATAAGCTGCACACTATGGGCTTCATGTACACTTGCTAACATGCATGGCAGATGCTTACCGTTGACCATTGTCTGCACCTCCAAGCACTCAATGAAGCGTCCTTCATGTTCGTCGATACCAAGCAGTGCTATCAGTGAGCTGTTCAGCATTGCTCTGATGACGTCTGCTGAATCACGATCAAATTCCAGACCTTTTCGAAGGACCTGCCTGCCGATGTGTAGACCTGCTTCGATCATTGTTTCAACCGTGGTCAGCTCAAAGCTACATGTGAGCCGGTCATTCAGGAAATCAGTGATGGCCTTGGCACACTCCGTCATCCGCCGCTTCACCTCTTCCTCGGCTACATGCATTGCTTCAAGGGCATGGATGGTTGCATACGAGTAGGACACATTCTGCTTGTGCCAAGCGAGTTTAGACTCTGGAATAGGCTCGTCTACAGTGTCCGTGGGTTCCACTCGATCGATTCCGATCACGTCCAGCAAGGACAGCCAGCCATGCAGTCCATCCAGTGTCAAGTACTCTTGATCCATGCTCGTATTCCTGTTGTACGCTGTGCTAGACATGGCGTCTGCACCCTTGTTGAAGCCGTGACGATCGAGCTGAGCTAACTTCTGTGTGACTGATGGAAACGCGCAGTCGGGTTCGTCGATGCATCCCACCTCCTGTCCAGCATCCAGCAATAGCTCCATGCTGTCCGCGTTGTCCAAGGCTGCTCCGTGGCCAACTGCACCACCGGCCTCAGATACTTTGAATATGGCATCAGGGTTGTTGTAAACCAGTTTGGAAGCCTGTCTGGCTATGAACAGCAAAGGCAGGCGCACCGGACAAGTGGCGTGAATCAAGCAGCGGAGAAGGTCTCCCACATCCACATCCGTGTCGACGTCACTACCGGCATACTCATCAACATCATAGCCAGCATCTTGGCCAGTATTTGCTTTAGTTGATAAAAGATACGTAAGTGAGAAGCTTGGCTCGCCAGGAGCAGTACTGGACAGGCCAGAGTCTGATCCGTCGTCTATTTCTGGCATGTTGACCTGCCTAAGATGATCTGGGTCCAGTCCACGATACACACTAACCCTGGGCACAGGTGAGTTCTCAGCAAAGATATCCTGCAGGGCTGCTAGTCCACTGTTGCGATGACCAATGCCCTCCT